GAATGCCTCACAAAAGTTTGTGCACGACCCATTTCGAAGTATTTCCCCAAATGCTTGCTTTAGCATTTCATAGGTTTCCGTAGCCGTTTTGGCGAGTCTTTGGCAAAATTTGATGCACCCGCCATTCCGAAATCGCAGGAGGGTCGGTGTAATGCACTACCAAAACGCCCGTAACTAAGAAACAAATGCTAATTCGATGATGCCGGCTGGCACACTGATTCACTATGAATGTAGGCCGCACCCCCTAAAGGCAGAAGCTCGTACTACATCCGGTTCGCCCGCTATTGACACAGTCTGGAAACTTTCCGATCGCACCTCGTAAAGAGGAGTGGACATTTCATAACAAAGCAAAACACAAGAATGAGAAGTGCCATAACTTTGTGTGAACGGGTGCGAAAAAGAAACCTATGATGATCCAGCAACTCTGAAATTAAGAATGCTCGACCGAGGGAGGGTTCACTTGTTGCGTATGGAACAATAAATTCTCTAAATGTCCTCCATGGGCAAGAGCACGTGTGTTAACACAACGCCGGGCACATTCCCCTGCATTGTTGATCAATGGCTGCGGATTCATAAAGGAGGACAGTTTATCAGAAATTCCACAAAACGAATTTTTCTTTCTATATAATTTTCGAAAATTAAGTCTAATAATTTCTGTACTTTCTATTTTAATGCATTCTTTAGGTGTTTTTAAGTAATGGGTTACGTGATCTGACTTTGTTTCATAAGCCGAATTGTTGATGACAGCGACAGTTAACTCCCAGGTCGTGGTGACTTTGACGATAAGGGTTTTCTGATAGCAGAGTCATCTTTTAAAGTGGTGGTTCGATTCCCGGCGGTGCCTGAATTTATAACTTGTGTTGGGCAAGGCCGTGGTCTAGGCAACACGGAGTTTTCCTCCGTGGCATCCCAACAATTACTCCATTCACACACAGAAGAAGGCAATGGCAAACCACTTCTGGATCATCTGCCAAGAACGTATATGAACAGGTCCCAGTCCGAGAGAAGGATGGAAGGATCCTGTTCATATGGACCTGTCATCAGACAGAACACTAAATAATAATAATAATAATAAGTATTACAAAAACTCGCGGGCCGCCCAAAACACACCAGCTGATTGTGAACCCCTTGTTAATATTTATGTTGTTGTGTGAATATTTAGCCAGATGAATATATTTCAAAAGCAGATTTTTTAAAGGCCAACATCTAAAATATCTCTTATCTCTTAAAGGAAGTGGTGATCGTATTAGTAGGATTTGAGGTTCTCACGGCGCTGAGTACGAAGATGGCTGTCTTCTGGGTTGTAGCGTCATGTAGTCTGGTAGAAGTTTGTCAAAGTTTTAGATATTCTCGTCTCCCTGATGATGGAGGAAGTAATGACATCTGAAACGTTGGTAAACTTCTAACGCACTACAACCCAGAAGACAGCCATCTCAGTTATCACTATCGATGTTTTGTGTAGATGCAGTCCGCCCCTTACTCGGCTGTGCGTACTCCCTTCTGATTACTTTCGTTACAGATATGCCTAGTCCCGATGGACCCCACTGTCTCTTGGCGGGGGCAATTTGGTAAATCATCGTATTTTGCCAACTTCCCCTTTCCAAGAAGACGATGTTACTCATTGCAGACATCGTGAATAGAATCACCTGTTCGTACATTATCAGTATTTGCGTTTCCTGTCTACAAAATTAACACCGACGCTACCAGATGGTCAGAACACGTGATTGTCGACGTACTGAGTTCAGATCTCCGCTCTGACGCCTTCTGTTATGACTCACGTTTTTCGTGTTTTTTCCTGAGTTCCTTTGTGTTAATGGTGGGACCGCTTACTAACATATCCAGCCCAATTCATTATTAATTAATCATATTATCATTCGACGTTGTACGTTCTGAGATACTGATAGCGTTGTTAAGTAATGTTTATAAAGTGAGCCCACAATGAGACGTACATGACTGTTCGAATGTTTAATCTCTTAACACACTGAACGGAGTGAAATTAAAATTGGTATTTGCATGTAGATTTGAAGTTTTTAGAGTGTTCCATGCCGGTTAATTTCAGCTCATACATTACATGCGGCCATAATTAAAATATGGGTCCATATCAATTTTTTAATGACGGTTCTATGTAAAATAAGCAGTTCAAGACCTCAAATATCATTAACTCTTTAGTGTCTAAGGATAGAAAATCAGTGGTTAATTGGGTAGAGTTTGTTAGTGACAGGATGTCGTTTATAATTAAGTCTTTGGCGTGATTATATTCTGAATGCCAATACATCAGCTGGTTATGGGGGGCGGTTAAGGACTGAAGGGTTCGATACAAAGAGCAAAACATCTTAACCAATTAAGCGACTAACAGCTTCTGAACAACTCAGTCACACTGGCTCGGTTAAACTTAATTTGAGATAAGCATTTCAGTAGCAGTCAGACAATGGTGCAGCGAATTAGCTGTTTGGTCAATGAAAATGAGTATCCAAAAATTATCAAGGCTGATAAGTCCACTGAGCTCACATATTTTTAAACGCATTCTAAACCTAAAGAATTTGAAAGAATTTATAAAAGAATTTAGAGAATAAAATGCAAAATATATAAATTATTTTATAAATTCTTTCAAATTCTTTAGGTTTAGAATGCGTTTAAAAATATGTGAGCTCAGTGGACTTATCAGCCTTGATAATTTTTGGATACTCATTTTCATTGACCAAACAGCTAATTCGCTGCACCATTGTCTGACTGCTACTGAAATGCTTATCTCAAATTAAGTTTAACCGAGCCAGTGTGACTGAGTTGTTCAGAAGCTGTTAGTCGCTTAATTGGTTAAGATGTTTTGCTCTTTGTATCGAACCCTTCAGTCCTTAACCGCCCCCCATAACCAGCTGATGTATTGGCATTCAGAATATAATCACGCCAAAGACTTAATTATAAACGACATCCTGTCACTAACAAACTCTACCCAATTAACCACTGATTTTCTATCCTTATATACGAGTAAGCTTGTCCCTAAATGATAATCATCATTCTGATTTCCATAAATAAGTATAAATGGACTGCTGGTTCAATGCCACTCTTGTCAATCTCTTCTGTGCTCCAACGAAGTCTGAGACGTGTCTCGCTACGGTTTCACTTAACCTGACATTTCAAATTCCAAATCTAATTTCCATTTTCCTTGCTTTGGCAGTTTTAGAAAATACGTGAAGTCCGAGGCTCTGCATAATATTTTATAAAAAAAATTTTAATAAGGAGTTGTTAGTCGACTGTCAAAACACCAAACTGGAGGATCACCCCTTGTCAGCTATTAGTCACTGTTTATTCGATATATATCGAGACCGTATCTATCACCCGCATCCTGAAGATCGCCAAGCTGTGATTGGCAAGGGACCAACTTACGCGCGTTAAAAGTGTAATCGGCGATTAAATACAGTGAAGTTATTTGGCAGTTGTGCCGGTAGGATTGTAGAACGCGGCAACCGACGTAGTGATAGCGCATAGCGGAAACAAACCGCCCGTCCGTGACTCCTGCACAGTAGCAAATGTACCTCACAGTGCCATCTTTGATCAGGAATGTCGTTTTTGTCTCAGTGAAATGAATTCTTTCGTACACTTTTGTGCCCACTTCCTGCGTCACTGACGTTTAAGAACTAAATTGCAGCAGTTCAAATCAACCGATAGATTTTTATATACGTTTCTGCTTAAAATACATATTATATCAACGAAACTTTAACACAGCCGATGTTTCTAGCAAAGAAAATTGAGCATTTGTTTCCTGGTTAAAATTCGGTTGCCTTCCGCGTTAAAACCGTTTCGCCTCGTGTAACATGACCTTACAGTTAGTCGCGCGGTTTTGGTTTGGTCTCGGTAGTGGAAACGCTTTTGCTAGCTAACAGCCAAGCATTACTATTCACTCCAAGTGCCGCTTGCAGTTCGCTTTTGTCCCTCTCCTTTTTCACCCTCCACTCTTGTCACTCAATCAGTCACCCCTCTCCTCCGCCGCTGCACTCTTATCCCTCCTTGTGCGTTCGGCACCGTTCGGCTCATCTCGGTAATCTAGCAGACGACGCGTTGCGCGTGGCGGCAAATCCACGAAGCTTTTTAGGCCACATTTCGTGTGACTGCTGGTGCACGCGGTTGGATAGTGGGGGCGGATCTGACAGATTGGGCACTGCCTTGACAGATTTAATTTCAGATTCACGTGGATTTGAACAAGGCATAATTTTCCCTTGTGTACTTATATTTGTGTGAGTGTTCTCTATTGTCTGTGACCTCAATTAAACTAGTTTCTAAGGTCTACGAAACAGTTTGAAGTGCAAAAGTGATATATTAGTGACCGTGTATTTCAGGAACGTTTTGTAACTTATACTTTATCAACTCCTGTTCCTTCGTGCTTTCAGTGAAGGACAGGTCAGGCTGGTTCGACGCGTAGGATTTTGACATTTGACTACATGTGAGAGGGTACAGTGTACTACTGATGACGTTGGTGCCTCTCACGTGTTGAACAGCCAATCAGAGTGCGGGAAACATTAACGCATGTTTGAACACGAGGGAGCATTTGAATAAAGGTAGTTGGTGTATTAGGAAGTTTCCAGCCCGCCCTGTTAACATTGTAAAAACAATATTGCTTGTGAGGTTGGCGTGTTATGTTTTTTATGTGAACATATGGACTCTTGGAAGAGTGATATTTAGTTGGTACTGTTTTTTGAGACTTTGCTGGAATTATCCGTGTGCAACAGCAGTGTATTGAACCGAGTGTTTTGCGGAAGTTTCTATTGTGCTTTGTGATTTGAAATGAGTTAATATTCCTGTCGCCTGCACAATACAAGATTTTTTTGAAAGATCATCTTTATATGCCTTCTGTTAACATAAGGTAAGAAAGATAAATTAATTGATATATTTTTAATGTAGTTGCAGTTTGATAGGAAACAAAAGCCATATTAACAGAAAAGTGACCCAGCACCTGCGAACAAAATAAACCGAGTAGAGAAAAATGTCAAACATTTCTTGGCCCACTTTAACACACAGAGATGAACCATAATCAACATATATCATCAATGCAAAGGACAGTAGCCAATATGGCAGATTATTTATCACAATATTATGCATATAATTTTATATATATATAGTTGTGTGTAACTAATTTGTTGGGATGGGATGATCAAAATATATTTACATCACAGGATCTTAGTACAGGCTTGTTAAACCTTACTTCTCTGGTTTGTAATGCATAACCCAAAATGAAACATTGATATTGTCAGAGTTGCAATGGAAATTAACCAGAGCAGTTTAATGGGGAAGTTTATTTTAAGGATTTCATAGTTCTTGTTTTGACTTTTCTTTTTTAGTGTTTTAGAAATGCTGTTGTCAAATTCAGATAATCGTTGATATTTCTGAGGATAATTTTCTCGTACTTCGAAACATTTCATACATTTTCAGGGTTTTTTTTATGTGTGTAGCGGAATAGATATGCAAGAAGTTGGGTTATCACTTGTTGACTATACACATTGAAAACTTCTTCATACGCAGAGTTCTTATTAAAAAGCTGATAGTCTCTGAGGCGGTCAGGTAATTTACCGCTTGTTATGGAATCCCATGGTACATTTCCGTGATCATCATACTCTGAGTGTTAGTGATGCATGAACTTAACGGCGGACATTTTAAGGGGAATCTGAGGGTGGTAAGAATGTGTACGAAAAATGGGACAATGGCTCTCAGCCTTCCGTGTCTTCTTTTGTTTGTGTAGGTAATGTAATCATTGCAATTAAGACGTAACTGTCTTTGATGAAACACCACACGTAAGTTAAAAGTCAAAAAGGCTTTTACACAGTTGTCCCACCCTTTGAAGCCGAGACGTGTCTAAATAATATTTTATACATTCGGTCCTTACCGCAAAGAAAACACAACACGACGCCATTACCAAGATTAACTGGTAAATTTTGTTTAAGGAAATAATCGCGTACACTACTACAAAACCCTTAAATGTGCTGTGTGTGGAAAAAAATAAAGATTTACTGAACGTTAAAGCAGACGGTACGTATAATTACCATTAGGTCCTAAAAGGTTAAACACCAGGTTATTCTGAGCAGAAGTGGAACTTTGTGAAATAGCTCGTTGGTAGCGCAAACAAGTTAAAAGTAGTTAATCACGGGGTCTTTTTTTTGAAAAAAAAATTGTGTCATGCATGTGAGAGGGGGCGGAGATGCCAAGAATTTTTTAGACCAGCGGGACATGCGGGTGACGTTAAACAGCGTACTGAGTCTGCATTTAGTGTTTGTCACTTACATAGGTGGCTGCGTAGTGGATGGAGGATACCGTAGATGGCAAATTAAATGAAGTTACTTCCGTACTAATCTGTACGTAAATTGTAATTTGGTGGATGCTCACGTGTTGTATTTGCCGGGTTACCGTGAAAAGTCTGTTTTGACTTTGTGTGTACGTTAGAAGGCAGAGAGAAAGCTGCCTTTAGTGAAATGCACAAAATGAAGTCCTTTCCGTGTAGCTGTCTCCCGGGACGCCCGTTTCACTTTTGAATATAATCAAGGTATTCTGATTAAATAAGCTACTACTGAGTGTAAATTTAATTTTGGTTTATATCACTAAAATTAATCCTTTTATCACATTAAGATTAAAACTTATACATTTTGTAAACATATACAGATAGAAAATTAGTAAAATAATTATAAAAATTGTAAAGCTAAATTTGAGGCCTAAATGTACAAGCTGTTTAATATTTGGTGTGTTTAGGTTGGCGAGAGTTTATATTGTCGTTTTATGGTTTATGATATAGAGGAGTCTTATTTGTGGTTACCAACAATACGGAGGAAAATTATATATCCATATTCTGCCCTGAAGAAGGCGGCAACTTCTTTCTCCGAAACGTTGTAACTACCAAAATCACTACACAGTATCACAAGCGCAGGAGATTTGATGTACAAGCTTTGTTTGAAATATTTTTCCCATATGATGAATATTTAATGAATTACAGTGAATATATTAGTAATCAGTCGATGGGTCGATATATAGAATATGATGTCCTGTGATATCATATCGCATAAAAATAACTCATTTTGAAATTACGCTTACTTCGTTGGGATAAGGCTTTTTCTCTGTTTTTTTAAACTGGTTAGTTTTTATTTGTTAACACGTGGTACAAAAACAATTTATTTAATAAAACGTTTCCAAATTCAGATATATTGAGGAATATGACGTTTGATCGGACAAAACTAAACTCGTCGATTATTATATTTAAGTTGATTAGACCTAACCGTTTTAATGCTAGGATTTTATGAATCTTACAACTGAAATTTTATGCATTTATATATATATATATATATATATTTAATGTATTTATAAGTGTGCCGCCAGACCACTAAAATTAGATTAATACAAAATATTTTTCTTTTTCATAACACTGGTGCAATAATAAATATATTATTATATAGTTGCGAAATTGTTTAATTCGATCGACTTATTCCGTAGGATTGTTGTAAAGTTGTTGTGTGGGCAGGGGGAGGTAATAATATTACATTTTTACACGAGCTGACTTCTAGACCATGATTAACCACACACACATATTCCGTGATATTTCTGTGGCATCAAAAGTTATAGCCTAGCCGTCAGGATTCTTGTTTTCTGTTTATGAGGTCCTGTGTTCTGCTCTCGGCTTGTAGACAGGTTTTAATGATTTTCTTACGCATCTCCAGGTGTACACTGATGCAGTGTATTCAAATTAAAACGACCGCTTCCTGCTAAATCCTTGCCAAATTCGACGTAATGCATGTTACGTACGCATTATTTACGTAGACGCTAAAAATGTTGTTATATTAAGATTCGGTCAAGATATTATTGTCTATATGTTTGATAAGAAAAGTCGTTTTATAGAAAATTCTGTGGTTATTACTTACTTTTAGATCTTACTTCCATGTCTACATTTCGTAATATTTTATAAATAGCATTTTATATTATAAATAATAATTGATAAAGTTCCAGTATGTATTGAAGTTCACAATTGGAAAATATAATAAAAAGTAAGTATTGTTTTAAAAAATTCTTCCCTTTTCCAATCCTGAAACCTATTTAAATTAATTTGATTGCGAAATTTTCAAACGAGATACTTTTTCCTCAGAAGTTTGGGAGTGGCGAACTAATTTTTATAGTGGTACAGTGAAAACGTTGGAGACAATTTTTGACATTGATGTGTTGGATCG